AAAAAACTCTTCCATCACCCAATGTAAGAAATGAGGAGTTTCATATAGTAACATTATTATATTTTCTATAAAGCAAAGAGTACCAACACAATTTAGTGTTGGAACATGACAAACAATACCAGCCATTTCCTATTACAGATTCATAATTATATAAATAATATCCTTATCCCACTCAGACTGCAGCAACTGTGTGACAATACATTCTACATTTTTTAAAAAGAACTGAAGATTCCTTTCTTAAGCTAAGGACATTGTTCCAGAGTGAAGTAAAAATTCTTAAGTCTTAAAAATCCAAAAGCAAAGCTATCACTTTAATTCCATTATCTTCCATTGTTTGCAACAAATAGACTTAATATCCACAAGAAAATAAGACAGCTACTTTATACAGAATATTTATCTACAATCTATATGTCTCCATAAGATTTTGAACTTATATGACCTGAGATTATCCTCCTGTTCATAAAAATAACTCGGTAAAATTAAAACAGAAACATATCACTGTGTCTGGAATAGTACAAGGTTAAGTTCTCCACAGGGTCTCTGTGATAAATCTAATATCTGTGAAACAATTAATCATGAATGGTCACATGAGGGCAAATTGCTTTTTCCCTGAGCAGTCTGTGGCCTATAACTACAGAGATACCCTCAACACTGAATCTACAGTCATGCTATTTGCAATCAACCTACTAGTGGCAGTAAGTGCTTGCAGAGAGAATAACTTAAAACAAACAGTGTAAAAATGACAGGATAGGTTAGAAAGGTAACATAACCAGATTACGAAATTAAAAGGTAATAAATTTAATTTAATTTAACTGATATTCAATAGTAATTTTTTAAATAAACCAGACATTAACATTATTCATTGCTGCAGAACTTGTGAAATACTCACAAAATATAAACAAATATTTCATAATGAGTACAAATTGCTTCCTCAATTGTCAATGAAGAATAAGAAGTTAATTTTTAAAAATGTAGATAAAACTAAGTACAAGATAACAGTGTTACTTAAACTTTGACAGGGTATTAAGACAGAAAGAAACAGCAAACTTCTTCACAGCATTTTATGGAAACTGCATAGAACATCCAAGTATTGCATTAAAAACCGCAAGCCTCAGTTACATCGTATCTGGATAATGCAATTAAGAACATTATCACCAATGTTTTAAAATGCAGCCAACATTAAACTTGTGAGGTCATCTTCAAGTTACAATAAATAACACCAATAAAAATATGATTCTGTATTTTCCAGGTTATTATTTTTTGTATTAAAATGGGGTGGATTATGAGGAGTGTTTGAGCCATGCAGGGGAAACCAGCATACACTCTAAACCTCTGAGCCAGCTACATTCTAGGCTAGACAATGCTTGTGCCTGTTCAAGCAGAGTTATGAGGAATGGAAGGGACTCACAATTCACTGCTGTGTAACAAGCTGGCACTCAGAACAAAAAACAAAAATCAATTCCACACACGAGCTATCTTGTTATTGGCTTTTGTCATAATTCAAAGTCATTCCAACCTAGTGTCAGTGACATGGTTAGCCTTTCAAGTGCATACAGTATGAAGTCAGTTATATTACTTCCAGACTTAAGCAACTCATTCCAGATGAAAATTCTTAACTTCATTACAGCTAATAAAAAAGTATAAAGGAATATGTTTCTGTCTTATAAATTTAAGACTGGCAGTATTAAGTAAGGAAAAATTTCTACTTTTGTGCTGCTACTTAATAATTATATTAACAACAGTGTGTAGCAATATTACAATTTATCACATTTTAAAATTTCAGCAAATTCTATCCAATTCATTAAATTTTTTAGTTCACAGTACTTTAAAAAACCAATCATAAAAATTTACAAAAAAAGTCCTTGAAATAAATAAAGACCTGTCACAGATTTGAATAGTTCTGTAACAGTGATGCACAAAATAAATGTGCTACTACAAATACAAACCCCATCCAACAACAACCCAAATATATACAACCAACTAATCAATCGACTCCCTTTTTGACACAAATCTACCTGACCTCACACTATTTGTACTTTCAAGGGATGAACAACTAAGAATAGTGAGTTAAATCTACTATATTCAACTAACTGGAGTAATACATTAGTCTGGGTTTATTCTGGGGGAATACTTAAATTGCCAACAGCTGGCAACTTACTCGCTGGCTTGTGGAAATGTCATCCCAGTGAAAGAGGGGGACAAAGTTTCTGTGTACATCTCACAGCCAGTTCCTTGGAGGTAATCGTTCTGCCAGGCCTGAGTGTCTGGGGACTGAAAAAACCAACATTGGGCTGGGTGTGACATAACTCCCCAGGGGATAGGAACAGTCTAGCATACATCAGGGTACAAAATATGAGGTTAAGGGAAGGGACAGTCAGGTGTGTTGAATCCAGCACTGATCATACATCAGCAAACAAGGGAAGAAGCTGAGGTTTCCTAGGAAAACAAGATACATAGAGAAAGATGGACAGGCATACAGGCAAACATACACACCTAGAAACAGAAAAGTATCAGGTCATGGTTCATCAAACAACACAGGCTGCATATAAATGATACCAACATGACGTCTTTATCATCATCAAAGGCTTATGATAAAAATCCATTACATATTTAGAATGATTCTTATCTTTTCAGTATTTGAAATGATACATACTTAACAGAATACAGAGCTACAGAAAAATTTAGACAGACAGAACTGGAATTTTATACAGCAGAACAAATATCATGCTATGGGAATCATTTTACTGCCTCTTCTCAGGTTATTTCTGATGAAGCCTTGTTACTGTATTATCTTATATTCAGAATGTTATAGTCTTTTGATATACGTTTTTTTTTCCAAACTTAATGTCACATCTCATCTATACTTCCTGTGTTATTTGTATTACCAACTTGACAGCACTTGAAGAGGATAAATAAGTATGGTGCTCCTGTCGATAACACTGGATACAGCTGGCGGAGAAAATCTTCACACTTACTCTGTGGCCTGCGCAAACGGCATGCCTATAAACGTGGGGCTGAGTGTTTCCGTGTACATTTCCATTCCCGTCCCGCGCAAATAGTCATTCTGCCAGGACTGCATATCTGGTGACTGCATCATCATCATCATCATCATCATCATCATCATCATCATATGCCAGGGATAATGAACAACACACACTACAGCACTATGCTACTGTGCTACTGACATCCCCTGCAGGTCCTACTACACATAAATCTATATGTCTGAAAGTCAGGGCATGTATTAACCAAGTAAAGACATTTTACACATATATTATACATCAAGAAGAAATACATAGTTTATATTAATATTAATGTATATTTAGCTACTGTATATAATTCTTTTTCTATAATGCACCATTTATCACTGGCAATATTTTTCTATCTATCATTTTAAAGTGCCACTATTTATTGTCTTCCAAATTATTTGGCTGTAAAATTACTGAACAGTAATTCTGAAACATGAAATGGAATATTTACGGCAATGTTACTGTAGTACTGAAAAATATTAATGTTGCATTAGTATGCATTAAACACAGATATACAGTTTCCCTCTAATATTATTATCATTATCATCATAAATAGTAGAACTTCTCTTATTCTGCACAAAACGCTTTGACATTAATACAGCCAGATTAAACGTGATTATGGAACATAAAGTAACAGATTTATGAAGAAAGGAAGAAAGAAAAAACAGTTACAGCATCACCGTTGTATGTCATCCAGCCAATGGTGTCTGCAGCTAGCGACAGATAACAGGCTAGAAAGAATAAGGAAACTGCAAGTAATGTAGAAGTATAAAACCTTAAAATGTATTTCTTTGACACTGACTTATAAGCTTACCGTTTTGAAGGAACGCATGGCAAACAGGTTAGCCATCATGGTAGAAAACCCCGGTGCTAAACAGCTCTGTGCAATGAACCCCAGCTTCAGCTCAGCCAGACATATCACATCATCTCCCTGCTTCCAGTCCCAAGACGGGATGTTCAGAAGGTAGGCCTGTCAACAGCAACTTTTATCCTCAAATTATAATTATCAGGAATTTTATCCACCCATCAATTATATTTATTTATAGTTTATTTACTGGCACTGTCAGTAGCTCATACTACATAGTATTTGAAGATATAATTCGTATACAATGACTGGACTGAATATGGAATGAAGCTGTCATGGCCTAATTTAAGGTATTATCCTGGCATTTTTCTGGAGGGAATGAGGAAAACTATGAAAAACATGAGTCAGGATAGCTTGTCTCCAGGCCAAGATTTGAATCCAGGATATC